TATATATATATATATATATATATATATATATATATATATATATATACTTATATATATTACACACACACACACACACACACACTGTAATTCACATTAAGAATTAATATTATTGTGTCGTGACGTACATCTTATGATTAAGGTATAAAACTTCCATTTATTTATTTTGATTTGTGTGAATGTTCGAGTTTATCTAATATCTAAACAAGTTTTGTTTATATTTGGAACATCCGGCATCACACAGCTGAAAGTTGTACTTGTTTTAGTTCATGAAAACGAAGCTTCGAAGCATTAAATGAATTCCAATCGCTGCGGAAATATTTGACCTTTCAGGACATGTTAGCCATTGACCGGAATGCAATCATCAAACAGAAATCAATTCTGTATTTGCAAAATATTTTTAAAGATGCACTAGATAGATGTTGTGTAATATTTTAATTAATGAATTTTGTGCAGCCGGAAACCCCGCTGAAACAAAATCATGGGTTAGTAGGCCGTTTGCCGGGTTGGGAGATCGCTTGGATGCTGGTGTTTCACAGGTGCTGGAGACCAAATAACGCTTCAACACTTTAATAGATATTAACTTTACACAATTCTACAAATATCCGAACAAACTGGGTACCTTGCAGGCTATATTTGTGTGATTAATTAATGTTAATGATGCGAGCATGAGTTCAGCAGAGCATCATGGCGGATTCAACTCCAAACAGGTTTCAGCTGGCCATGGGGGGATGCGCGTGGCCTTTTTTGTCAATATGTATCTCCCTCTCCTTTCTCCTCTTTCTCATTTCTCCCCCTTACTTTCATCCTCTCTCTCTCTCTCTCTCTCTCTCTCTCTCTCTCTCTCTCTCTCTCTCTCTCTCTCTCTCTCTCTCTCTCTCTCTCTCTCTCTCTCCCTCCCTCCCCACCTTCCTTAAATCCCTTTTCCCTTCTCTCTTCTTATTCAAATGTATTTTCCTTTCTTCAATCTAATCGCTTTTCATTCTTTCTCCTTTGTACCTCAGGAATTTGAATTGGATAATGGCTTATGTTATACAATTAACTATAATAATAATATATAATATATTATTATATATTATATATTATTATATATTTGTTTTATTATATATTATGAGTATTATATATTATTAATATAATATTAAATATAATTAAGAGACGATTTAATAAAGGCATTTAAGATAATAACATGGTTACCATGACCAGTTTAATAATGGGCAATCAGGCATAAGGTACATCAGTGGCTTGGAATTGTGTAACTCAGTATGGCGCAAAGTTTCGTATTTTAGTCCCATAATTTTTAGCTTTTAAAATTATGGTGAAATTATTTCACATCAACGCAGCTATATAAATTTTCTTAAGTCGACTAGTAGGCCTAAACCTGTGAAATAGATTATTAAGTGATATAGTTCAGAGTGGTACCCTGTATACGTAACAAAATAGATTAGACAAGAACTTATATTAAATCAATGCAGCAGTAGGGCTTTCCTTCATCAAGCCGCCTAGTTTGGATCAAATGATCTGTTACTGTTTGCATTAATTTGTCAAATATATCTTTTTTTTTTATCCTTCGTGTGAACCATCTTGGATTATGAAGTATAGATTTGGCACTTAACTGCAGAATAGTTAGAAATTAACATAAGTGATTATAGAGACAGTTGACTATGCGCTTATATCTTGTGAAATGAGAGACTGAAACCTGTGCAGACGAGGAGTCACAATAACGTGGCTGAAATATGTTGACCAAACCACACACTAGAAAGTGAAGGGACGACGACGTTTCGGTCCGTCCTGGACCATTCACAATCGACTTGAAAATGGTCCAGGACGGACCGAAACGCCGTCGTCTGTTCACTTTCTAGTGTGTGGTCTGGTCAACACTGAAACCTGTATTGAGCTCCTTGAGGGACTACATCTACTCGTTCATTTCCACACAGTCTAATGTGGAAGGGAGTTCACAGGAAGTTTATCAGCTTTCCTCGATTGGGTTGTATTTCCGCAGCTCTATTTCCCTGACTGTCCCTTTGTTGTCTGCGTGTTTTCCCTCAGGCGTTGTAGTGTGGCTTTTGAATCAGTGCAGATCACTGTTCCTCTTATGATTTTTCTATGTATTTTGGTTGCAACCCGTTCTCGCAAATTCGTAAAGTCAATATTTACTTATTAACTACGTGCATAGGTGATATACTAAACATAATAGATACCCTTAAAAAGATTCATAGAAAACACCGACCTTACCTAACCTTGTTAGTATCTTAAGATAAGCATCTTATTGCTTCGTAATTACAATTATTACTTAACCTATACCTATTATAGGTTAGGTAATAATTGTAATTACGAAGCAATAAGATGCTTATCTTAACATACTAAGTAGGTTAGGTAAGGTCGGTGTTTTCTATGAATCTTTTTAAGGGTATCTATTATGTTAAGTATGTCACCTATGCACATATTTAATAAGTCAATATTGACTTATTAAATTTGCGAGAACGGGTTGCAAAGCCATAACAAGGGCAGTTAGACCTGCGTGCAATGAAGAGTCACTTAGTTGCCCGAAACGCTAGTGTTAGTGACTTTGCAAGAATGTAAAAATATCACTCTAATATGTAATATCACCAACCCATTGTACCTAATTGTAAATTATTATTATTATTATAGTTAATACGCGCGCTTTCTTTATTTCCGTTCTGTGAGACATTATTTCTAGTTAAGGGTGTACTCTGCTCCAGCCCTGTTATTAGTAGGATTAGTATTATCCATTAGTTTAGATTTTGGTCTAATAATGCTAGAGAACTGTTGTAGGATGCATCCTGGGGAAGATCAGTTGGCCCAGGCCCTAGGTACAGGCTTCCTGTCCCCGATAACGAGAATTAAATATATACAAAAGTTTTCATTTTGTGAAGAGTAACCTCTGTCTGCTCTCTTACATTTTCTGAAATATTTGTCAGTGACTGTCAGTCGGTTAATTATAATTTGTCAGTGACTGTCAGTCGGTTAATTATAATTTGTCAGTGACTGTCAGTCGGTTAATTATAGTTTGTCAGTGACTGTCAGTCGGTTAATTATAGTTTGTCAGTGACTGTCAGTCGGTTAATTATAGTTTGTCAGTGACTGTCAGTTGGTTAATTATAATTTGTCAGTGACTGTCAGTCGGTTAATTATAGTTTGTCAGTGACTGTCAGTCGGTTAATTATAATTTGTCAGTGACTGTCAGTCGGCTAATTATAGTTTGTCAGTGACTGTCAGTCGGTTAATTATAATTTGTCAGTGACTGTCAGTCGGTTAATTATAGTTTGTCAGTGACTGTCAGTCGGTTAAACACCACGTGAGCACTAGGTGAGTATACACACACACACACACACACACACACACACACACACACACACACACACACACACACACACACACACACACACACACACACACACACACACACACACACACACGACACCCAGGAAAATAAATTTGGGGTTACCCCTTCGACAGTATGCGTTTTCTTTGATGATCTGTGGTTTTCTTTGATATATGAAACGTGGAGGATTAATCCGATTGACAAGACATGTTGATAAACGGGTATGATAAGAGAGTATAAGAAGAGGCAGGGTAATTATTAGAATTGCTAAAAAGAACAATTATACCAGTTGCGCGATTGATTAAAACATCAACATTACCCTTTTGTGTAAGAAAAATTTTGTGCAATTAAGTAAATAAAATTGATAAACGCTAAAGTAACTTCTATATTAAATCATAGCCAACTGTAGGTCTTGTCATTAAATACGAAATTTATGCTGCAAGGTCGATCTCGAACCCATTGTTGATGTGACGACTTATATTGAATTTTGGAACTAGCTCATCAAGATTGTAACTTGCTTAGCTACATGAATTGTGGGGTTCAGTCCCTGAGCCCATTATGTGCCTCTGTAACCCTTTCCACTGCCGCCCACAAGATGGGTATGGGGTGCATAATAAATGAACTAAACTAAACTAAGATGCAAGGTGTAACCCCCAATGGCTGTCAAAGAAGAAAGCACAGACTTTACTCAATTTAAATTATTAATATCATAAATGCGAATAAAAAATAAGATTGAGAGAACTTAAGGTTTTAGGGTTGAGAAGACAATAGTGCTAATTTCAGTTCAAGTTGAAATACAGAAAGCCTAAGGCCCAAATTTACTTGGCTCTTACCTTAAATAATAATAATATTTTAAGACTTTGTTGCATTAGCTCTCGTGAATATGTTCGACAAAGTTCCAGTGTTCCAATTCGAAATTTGATGGGTTTCAGCTTCATTTCGAAATATCAGCTTCCATCACTTAAAAAATTATCTCTATACATATCTATATAGATATATTTATCAATATATTTAATAATGGCAGTCCCCATGGCGCAGTGGTAACACACTTGTCCGGTGCTTCGCGAGCAATTCTAAGGAATGACGCAAATGACAGGTTATTGTTATAGATTCAGCTACTGGGAACAAAAAATTGCAAGTAGCACGGGCTATGGTGAGCCCGTAGTGGATTTACCTGGCACAGGAGCGGGGCTGTGCGTAAATATGTCAGAAATGCGAAAAATATGTACCTTTCATATTTTAGATTTTTAATTGACTATGCTGTACCCCTGCTTGTTCTAGTGCCCGAAAGAAGGCTTGGAGGTCTGAATAGGATAATAGGATAGCACTAAAGTGTTAAGCGAAACTTCAAATTTCTGGCATCAGTCGTTAATTATTGTATCGTTAATGTTGTTAATCGTGTATACATTTAAACAAAATATAGCTTATCAACATAAGTAACTTGCTTAGCCAATGGAATTTTGGGGGTTCAGTTCCTATGTACCTTTGTATTCTTTTTCCACTAACCAGTTTGGCATAATATTCAAGCCTAATATTCAATGTTAATTCAACATTATCAACATTGATTTAATGTTAATAGCGGGCGAGAATAGCTTGAGCTGCCTCATCCTTTTTCTATGTATTTATATCTCGATAAACGTATTTAAATTTTCTATTTCAGGATGCGTATTGGGTGCATATAATGAACTAAACTACCCCCATAGATATGTGTGTTTTGTGGTCTATCGTCTCCGTGCCGACTCTTAATACCTCAAGTAAGATATTAATTATAATTGATATAATTACATTAATCTTGTCTTTTAGCTTATATACCTCTCAGCTCTGAGACCAATTTGGAGGTATTTATACCTTTGAAATTTCGCCAGCATTTTTTTTTTTTTTTTTGCTCGTTGTGTATACATAAAAATCTGTATTCCTTCTAAATATAAGTCAAGATTGGAAGGATTGTAAATATTATAAATTTATTTTAGCATGGTTAAAAAGTACCTAACCCCTTCCAACTTTGAACACGGCAACTGCTTGTTTAACCAATACTGACGCGCGCCCCCTCTATTGGAATATACTGTACTTCGGGGTGAAGGATCGAACAAGGCGCAGTTCGGCCATGGACTCCTCACTAGGAATATATAGCGGACTCCAGTGTGGTGTCCTCCCATACGACAGCCAAGGAATTAGTGTGTGGTGGTCTTCCCAGTAACATCGAAGACAAACTTTGACGCACCTACAAGATGTGCTTATAGTCCAACTCCACCAACCACACACTCCTTTTGAGGAATGTTATGTTGTGGTCTGGATATAAACATATACCACGTCAGTTCACCAACATCGTTGAACGCTCTCTGCCGCAGGATGAGGCAACGAAGTCTTTGAAGTAGTGTACCACATCAAATTGTTTGGGTTTACTATATTAACCTGCAGTGTAAAATGTAATTCTTGTACTATGATTTTTGGATTTGTACTCACTGGATATGTTCGCCCCCTTGAGAGACTTAAAGTAGAGTAGGGTAGAAATAGCCTAAGCTACTCTATCCTTTTGAGATGTATTTTTATTGTCTCAATAAACGTATTTGAACTAAGTCTTTAATTAATGTTGAGTGAGGCAAAAGTCAAGTAAAATCGAGCATGGCTTGTTGTGCTTCGTATTAAGAGGAATCCAATGGTAATGCTATTAAAATTCTTATAATGTAATCTTTTATCTCTTAGTGACAGGTATGTTATCCTCCAGGAAAGATGACGGGAGGGATCAATTGATATCTAATTGATATGGGATTATGTGATATGTATACTTTTGGAGATATGATATATTGGCAATATAATGGGGGGTTTCACCCCATTATATTGCTTGGGATACTCCTTTTAGTGGGAGGAATATTGAGTTTTGCTTGCATATCCCTAGGTAACATACGTCAGCTGATTCCATGTCGTGGGTATACATGTATACCCACGACATGGGTATATACATGTGGGTATACATTCCATACATGTAGGGAGAAGAGTGCGTTTAGCGTGCGTGCGTGTGTGTGCGTGTAGGAACCCGGGCGCTTTCACTCAGTTTCGTGTTGGGTGTGATACGAGACGGACGCGCGGCACAATGGCGGAACAGGGCGCACGTAAAGACAGCGGACTGCAAATTTCCGAAGCTGCTTTGTCTAAACCCGTAGCCAACGGGGAGAAGGTGAGTGACTGTCCCTTCCCCCTCACTTCCCCTCGTCCGGAGGGAAGCTGGCTTGTCTAGGGGGTTTAATTGGCAGATTGTTAAAGGTTACTGTGCGTCGCCGCCGCCAACTCCTGGTTGGCTGGTCTGGCAAGCATGGGGGGAGGGTGAAGACATGTCTCGTGGCTTTTACATCTCTTGCGCTCTTCCTTGGCACTTTTCCTGAATTATATCGACTGGACGAGGCGCTGGACTAGTCCCAGGAGCCATTATCATCCGTGTTTTGGTGGGTTTGGGGAGATGATGGAGATTGATGTCCCCGATTGTTTGTTTATATCCGCCAGCTGACTCCCCGCGCCTAGATCAGCTGATCGAAACATGGCATCAGGGGTTCTGGTGGTATTATTGCTGACTTCCTCTATGTGTATACACAAAGTCTAGTGTGTAATTGGTGGGGATTGATTCATTGTGTAATGGCTAGGTTTGGCGAACCGGGGTAAATGTTGAAAAGTAGGTCAACTTTCGGACTTGGTAATGATTTTGTTTGAATTCTTTGGATTCAAAAGGTTTTAAGACGTGTGAATTAAGGATTATTGAATTCAAGGATGTTTGGGTTAAAGTATTGGATCCTGCTGGTGAAAATAGTACACTGAGGCATGAGAATGTTGCAAGTTCTTAAAACTGCCTTTGTTGTTGAACCATTAAAGTAGTAAGTTGCCAAGCTGGACTAGCAGAATACATTGGCGATTTAAGGATATTCATTTCCTTGTGACAATATTCTCCTTGGCTTTGAAGTGTTGCAAAGCAAACTAATCCTGCTAGGCCAATTTTGTCTATTCAAGCTTGTTGATAAACATGGCAGTAATACTTTTTCTTGATTATTTTGTGCATGGTTGGAGAGTAAACCATATCTGAAGGTGCAGGGATTTCTTAGGAATACAGTACTATAATGGGAGAATTGCTTGACTGGCAGCCAGAAGCTTGTTCGGGCCATTTTGAAAAGATTAGTCACATCTTTTACTGTATTGTATAATTTCTCATCTTGTGTTTTACTGTTTTAAAATATAAAATTACATTTATAGTAATTTCTCGTTATAAATAATTTGTTCAAAAACATGGACTGTATTCAAATTTTTGCACACTTTAACTATTGTCATCAAGCCTACAGCCTAAAGAAGTTGAATTGTTCAATATGTATGCTTGAATGTTTCATCCTGTACAGGAATCAAACGCAAGATCATTCAGTTGCAAGCTGACTGCACTGTGTGTGTACGTGCAAATGTAAACACCCACTTTTACACTGATGGGGAGGACATTTAATGCAGAACTTTATATCTGGTCACAAAATGCCTACTTATTTTGGTATTATTTACCGAGCTATTATATATCGGTATATACAGTACCATTTGCATTTCTGTATGGATATAGTCACAGTATTTATATTTTTAATTACAGTTCTAATGTGTATCACTCCTAAATAGACTGGATACCTGTGGTTGTAGCCTATACACAGCTACTAGATGGTGTTAGATCTTTGTTACCTTTGTCTTCCCAATATAGTATTGTACCTCAATTTTTTTTTTTCCACTGAAACATTTGATGGTGCTACATAGCCTTCCTGGTTTGGTGCCGCCTTTTGATAATTAATTACTTACTTTTTCACTGAAATTTTTCGGTGCTCAAAATACAGTATTGTACTTATGAGACAGGGTACTGTATTGAAACAGATTGATGGTTTGGGAAATTTTTTCATAAAAGTATACAATTTGACAAATATATAATCTTGCTGCATTGTTGGTTTACATAATAAACAAAGATTATATTTTATATGAATTGTTTTTACAGTATTGAAAAAATAATAATAATAATTAAAATATGCATTAGAAATAGCAGGGCCTTATAATACAGGTTTTAAATATTATAGCAATTACTATACTGCATATATAATTGCAAATATATTAATTTGGCTTGCTTTACCATCTAAGAATAGTAATAGGGGAAGCAGAGTGGCTACATTTTTTCTCACAGGATTTGCTGGTACTCACCTAGTTGTGTTTGTAGGGGTTGAGTTTCAGCTCTTTTGGTCCTACCTCTCGACTGTCGATAAACTGATAATACAGCATAGTGTGGTGTGGCTATGCTTAAACTGCGGTAACAGTTTAGTGTTTGTCATGTTTCCTTTACCTCCACATTGCCTTTAAAGTGAGTATTGATTTTCTTCATAATTTTATTTTCTTTGCTTCAGTCCCTTCTATCTTGAGAAACTTGTTGTTGTTCCTGCTTTGGGGACCGTGTTATCGAAACTAGTTCCTGCTGTCTTTGAATTTGGTAATTCTGCTTCTTAACTGCTGTCTCGGGTTTTCTCTACATTTCTGGATTGCTATTTTTCTTTGAGGTAGCCAATTTTTAAGTGGCTAGGGTTTTTCCAATTTTTTCAGTACTTATGATGCTGGAGCCTCGGTTTCCTCATTTGGGTAGATTCTGCACAATTGTGGTTTCCGAAAGTGGCTCTTTGACGTTTTCCCACTTTCCTTCAGTTGTGACATGATGACTAGCATCTTTTAGTTTTACCCTTTTGGCTCACATTGACTTTGTGGTCTAATATTTGCCCATTTTTTTCTAATTATCTGTATCCCTGCCCTTATTTTACCTAAGGATGCATGTTCACATCTTTTGTGTTCCATGTGGTTACAGAGTTGTGTGTGTATATTTCTTTTGCAGGGCTATATTTATATTTCTTGAGGTTTGCTACTGTACCCATTTTCCTTGTCTGATCCTGGTGTTTACCATTCCAAGGATGGCATCTGTATTGAAGCCTCTATCTTCTGGCATTGTTCTGAGGCAGGTTTGTGTTCCTTGGCAGGGCTTGGTGGCATGTCTCAACCCTTCCTTAGGGGAGGAGACAGACAGCCTGAGGCATTGAGAATTTGGTTTGGTTCGGATTCTGTTCAACCCTTTTTGGGGGGGGGCTGTAGTTCCAAGGCTTATTAATCTTATATCAAAATGCGATGTACTATTCAGGAGATACCTGCTTGATGGGGGTCTGGGAGTTCTTTTACTCCCCAAGCCTGGCCCAAGGCCAGGCTTGACTTGTGAGAGCTTGGTCCACCAGGCTGTTGCTTGGAGCGGCCCCAGGCCCACATACCCACCACAGCCCGGTTGGTCAGGCACTTTTTTTTTTTTATAAATCTAGTGTTCTCTTGAAGATATCCACGGTTGTTCCGGCAATATTTCTTATAGTCGCTACAGGTTGCTTATTTACTGCTAGGCGAATAGAGGAATCAAATGTAAGTAAACTTCTAAAGTTGCTTCCCTCTGCCCTTCTAATGCTGGAGTGCACTATGAGCTCCATCTTTGCTTGCTGATTTGGCCTTAGTTCTGTGTCAGCATAGCTTTCTTCCCTGCCCTTTTGATGCAAAAGCTTGGGTGTTGGGATTACAGAATATGAACACTTCCAGGCTCTATGCTGATCAAAATGTGGTGTGTGTCTAGGGCAAATATACAGTACAGTATTGCAATTACAAACCAGAAATAATTATTAATTCATTATTGTTTGGGGGACAGGCAGCCAGTGTATACATATTGTACATGTTAGGCTTATATCAAGATCCCCCTGAGGGTTGAATTACTGACAGTCCCTAGGATGTAATCCCACAATACTGACTAACAGATAGATACTTGATTACCTGTTTACTTGTGGTGGAGGGGGAAACGCACCTAACCATTTCTGTCCCCTCCGGGATTTGAAACACAGAATTCTCGATTGTGAGTCGAGAATAAACCCGACTATAATACCGGAACCCTACAGGATGACACTTCCTGTGTATAATAACAACCATCAGCAACAGGCCCAACTTGGATTACGCTGTGCAGTTCTGGTTGCCATAACACAGGATAGATATAGACTAGAGAAAATACAGGGAAGTACAGTACAGTACTGTATATAGATACACGGAATTGGGGCCCTTTTTTTAACGAAGATAGACTTGTGTGTCTTGATCTGCACTCATTAAAGAGAAAGAGAGAGACGGTGCACAGGGAACGTGATCTTGGTTGGTCCGGTACTTCTTGCAAGAACGTATTCTTGAAATCTACCTTTGTTCTATCAGTATTTCTAATGCTTGCTGGTTGAGTATGAACTGCTCGTGACTTATCTTATTGTCTTATAGCTGCTTTTCTGAAACTTCTGTGTCTTTGCATTGACTTCATCTTTTATTTTTGTTTAAAAAAAAGTTGAAAAACTGGAAATAGTATGCAATATGTCTGCAATGGGGACCCATTTCCAGGTGTCTAGAAAAAGTTTATCTATACCCTGAACATTTAACATTTACATTTTAAAAGATGTTCAG